TGTATGAATATAGTATAAATGTACATAAATAAAAATAACAGCCAGTCCTGCTCAATAGTCACCAGCCCCACCGTACCATCTCCATCTCTAACGTACGACTTGCATCCGACAGGTTCGAGTCACCTGTGTCACCGTGGCAACGGAGGCTGCGAGGACGTGTGTTTGACGGATGCGTACGGCAGCGTGGTGTGCGCCTGTAACCCGGGACGCGTGCTACTCAATGCGACGCACTGCCGCGCCATACAGTGCGACAACGGAAACTGCAGTGAGTGTCTCTTACGTTACTGGGTCAAAAAATTACGACCAGTGACCGGCATGTTTACATTTACACGTAGCTAGATTAACCTAATTCTTCACCTAATCAAATTCAACTTTAAAGATCTTACGTCCCTTTGTTGAATGTTACGGGAACGGCAATAGTTCTCTGTAATTTCTGACTTCTCAGACTTGAGAACAAGCAAAGGTTAGAAGAACCTGATAAAATGTTGTTCATCGTCGAAATTAGTTGTTCGTCGCTACCTACGCATTGTCAAGATGGCGTCGACTATTTTCGTCTCATGCGCATGCACACGTCTTTTACGAGACTTCACTCGTCTCTTGTGTGACACTGGCTAAACATCGCCCCACTCTGCACACCTATGGAGCTATTGAGCTATTGTAGTGATAAAAGTATAGTTACGGTGACAGAGTTGCGTTTTGCCTGAGTAATACATCGGTGAATCACGACCAGTGACGGGCATGTAGACATTTACACGTAGCTAGATTAACCTAATCTTGTTCTAACCATAGATGTTACATCCTGTAACTGTGTAGTTTCTTACTTCTCTGTGAGATAAAAAAAAATCTCAAGCAAAAGTTGGATGAACCTGATAAAACATTATTATATAACAACATCGAAATTAGTCGTTTGTCATTAATTACGCATTGTCATGATGGCGTCGACTCTTTTCGTCTGCTTCATGAAAACTAACTCAGTAGGACTGCACGCCGTAGTGTAGCCTAACTACCGCCCCATGTTTAATTTTAGATATAGAAGATAAATATTAGATATAATTACGATAATAATTTTATAATAATATTAGATTTTAATAATTGCCTCAAGATAGCTTTGCCTAAACGGTCTTGGAAACAAGTCGGAAAACTGCAGCCAGTTCCGATTTCGAAATTTTTATTTCAACTATATGACCTATTATCCGGGGGAACGCTGCTCTGTTGTTTTGCCGACGCCGGCGCGTAATCAGTTGCGTTCTGCCATCGCTTGCCGTTCTAGTGGACAACCACCAGTGCAGGCAGGATGAGTTTGCGTGCAAGGGAGGCCTGTGCATTCGCTTTGAGTTCACGTGTGACCGCACGGTGCACTGTCCCCATGGCGATGACGAGGACCCTCAGTACTGCGGTAGGTGTCGCGCGCACCCAGGGTGGCAACGTAAGATGTCGGGAGCAAATAAAAAAGTTTCGATTTTTTAATTTATTTTTATTTTTATTTTTTATTTGCTCCGGATAGCGTAGTAGCGCGGTGCCAGGAGTACTGTGGTAGGTGTCGTGCGCATACGTGGGAACGAATAAAACCAAAAGTTTGGGTTTTTTATATTTTTTTATTTGCTCCAGATATCGTAGTAGTAGCATGGCATGATTTACTAGAAGCATATATAACGTAGCTAGATCTGATGTGGATTGCTACGGGTAGATTAGCACACATAGGAGCATGGATGACAAAGCATGAGTACACCCTACAGGTAGAATAACACAACTAAAACTGCACACCAGGTTTGACTACTAAGTCATGTCCAAGTTAGTAGAGCTTTCACGGTTATATTACCGGCGGTAGTGGTACGGGTACGTTTGTCAGATTTCAAGGCCAGTAGCGATAGAGTCTGCTATGGCTGGTGTAATAGAACAATAGTATTAAGGCTACGTCCATGACATTACATGCCAGTAGAGGGTGTGTTATCTGGTGTACAAGTGCAGTGGTAATGAGTTTGTCGCGTTTCAGGCCGGTGGTTTCTGCTATGATAAACCTAGTCTGCAATGATAGAGGTAGATTGTTATGACTATAGAAGTGTGACAGTAATAAGTGTGTTGCGTTTGCGGGCAGCACTGGCGCCCCATCAACTTCTTACTGCAACGAGGGCCGCTGTCTAGGTTTCAGTCTGCTATGATAGTGATAGAGGCAGTCTGCTATGATAGAGATAGTCTGTTAGGCCAAAACAAAATATATGTGTGGTTACCGTTACATGCCGAAAAAAATAGGGTAGGTAGGTAGGGAAAACATTTTATTTTCTTGAAATATTTTATTTACGAACCATGTCCGAAGGATGTGCGTTGTGTCTTTTGAAGGAGGAACTGTCCAATTCATATATTTTTTAAATTTTTATTTACTTTAAAGAAAATTGACAATAATTATAAAATGTTTAGGGTTGCTGGGACTAAATAGGGTGTCGTTCGGGAAACCGTAACCACACCTATAATTTGTATTGGCCTTATGATAGTTGCGGCTGGTATATGAGCAGTAGCAATAAGCCGTGCGATCACAATATTTCAGGTCAGCGATTGTGTCTTGTTGGCTTCTTCCACTGCGACGAGGGTTGCTGTTTGATGTGTAAACAGTTATAACAGCTGTGACTGGTGTACGAACAGTAATTAGCAGATATCTGCATTCTTTTAGGTCAGCGATGGTGTCCTGTTGGCTTCTTCCACTGCGACGAGGGACGCTGTTTGATATGTAAACAGTTATAACAGCTGTGACTGGTGTACGAACAGTAATTAGCAGATATCTGCATCCTTTTAGGTCAGCGATGGTGTCCTGTTGGCTTCTTCCACTGCGACGAGGGACGCTGTTTGATATGTAAACAGTTATAACAGCTGTGACTGGTGTACGAACAGTAATTAGCAGATATCTGCATCCTTTTAGGTCAGCGATGGTGTCCTGTTGGCTTCTTCCACTGCGACGAGGGACGCTGCCTGCCGGAGAAGCTGCGATGCGATGGAAAGTACGACTGCACCGACTTCGTGGACGAGGACGAGTGTGGTGAGTGTTGCCGCGTTGCCATGACGACCGACGTACGCGGCCATGTCCGGTTATGTGTATAGAGGATGCGTTGATGGGATTTCGGCGATTTGATCTGTCGATCTGTCAATTTCTCGCTCATTCTCCCTCTCCCTTCTTCCCTTCCTTCTCTCCTCTCTCTCCGCTTTCTCCCGCTCTCTCGCTCTCTCTCTCTCTCTCTCTCTCTCTCTCTCTCTGCCTCTATCTCTCTCTGGCTCTTGCGTTTTTCCGCTCCCTCTCCCTCCTTCCATCTCTCCTCTCCCACTCTCTCTCTCTAGTTTCCAGACAAGGTTGTTGTGCATGTAGAGTATGTATGGTTGTAGGATATGTGTGAAGAAGAGGCCTGGACAGCCTCTCTGGGGCACAGCCTTACTGAGTTTCCCCACGTGGATTTAGCTTGCTGGTTGGATGTTGCCAGTGTATATATAAAAAAAAGGTTTGTTAAGAAGTCGCTACACAAAGTTAGCAGTATATATGATTGTATGTTGCATGGATGCATTCACGTTTTCCACTCGTCGTCGTTTCAGCATGTGAGGAGGATGAGTTTAAGTGCACGAGTGGCATGTGCATACTGCAGGAACACAAGTGTGACTTCACACCGGACTGTCCGGACGCCAGCGACGAGATGGGCTGTCGTAAGTTAACACACAGTCATGATTATATAGTATAGTATAGTATAGTATAGTAAGTAACGTATAGTGTATTCGTCTCATGATGAGATGGACATACTGCTATACAATTTTGAGTATAGTAATTATAATTGTGATGATAGTAAACTGCCTGAAGATCACTCATATAACAGGTTATTGCATCCAAAATTTTGAAGAGAATGTGGGGCATGCCTCCAGACCACCTAGCAACGCATGGTTGCTATAAGGCATCCTGCAGCCGTCATTCGCCTAAAACATTTTGAGAGGTTATTTTCATCCATAGCTAGAAATATCGCTATAGCCGAGCTGTTAAAAAAGCTACGTATAACATGTATAAGCTACAGCAGGTATGAAAGCCATAGGTATCATCAGCGCTTGTTCACATCCTGGCCACTACCGTTGCTAACGGCAACCACGTCTGCTCTGCTCTCTCGCCGCAGCCCACCGCGACTGCAGCGAGCACGTAGAGGGTGCGGACGCGACGAGCAAACTCATCAACTGCAACGCGACGACGGCGTGCATACTGGAGGAGTGGCGATGCAACGGTCAGAACGACTGCTGGGACAACAGTGACGAGGTCGGCTGCCCCCCACGTAAGTGCTCGCGTGCGCGTGATTGGCTGCCCCCCCACGTAAGTGTTCGTGTGCGCGTGGTCGGCTGCCCCCCACGTAAGTGCTCGCGCGCGTGATTGGCTCCCCCCTCCCCCCGGGTACCAACAGTTAATTTGGGCAGATCGGTTACTAAAAAAATAAATTTGACTATTCAGTATCAACTACCTTAGAAGTTGCGTGCATCGTGCATAATTCTCAGGTGTTATATATGTATTATATTCTCGTGCATGCCTTTGAGCCCCAAACGCGCTTCTCGCGCACACGCGTTCATTCATGCACTGTGTGTGTCACACGCAAACGCAGGTTCTTGATTCTCTCGCGCGGTTCCCTGCATCATCCGTGACTGTGGGCGCGCTCTCACTGCAGACGTGCCGACGACGTGCGGCGGGGATCAGTTCACGTGCGAGGACGGCGAGTGTCTCGCTATAGACTGGGTGTGCGACTATAGCGCGTAACTCCGTCATTCTACTTAATCCTCGTGCACGCGCACGTTCGTGCACTGTGCGTGACAAATGCGCGCGTTCGTGCTTAATTCTCGCGCGCGCGTTCGTGCTTAATTCTCGCGCGCGCGTTCGTGCTTAATTCTCGCGCGCGCGTTCGTGCTTAATTCTCGCGCGCGCGTGCGTTCGTGCTTAATTCTCGCGTGCGCGTTCGTGCTTAATTCTCGCGCGCGCGTTCGTGCTTAATTCTCGCGCATGCGTTCGTGCTTAATTCTTGCGCGTGCGTTCGTGCTTAATTCTCGCGCGTGCGTTCGTGCTTAATTCTCGCGCGTACGTTCGTGCTTAATTCTCGCGCGTGCGTTCGTACTTAATTCTCGCGCGTGCGTTCGTGCTTAATTCTCGCGCGCGCGTTCGTGCTTAATTCTCTCGTGCGTGCGTTCGTGCTTAATTCTCGCGCGCGCGTTCGTGCTTAATTCTCGCGCGTGCGTTCGTGCTTAATTCTCGCGCGTGCGTTCGTGCTTAATTCTCGCGCGTGCGTTCGTGCTTAATTCTCGCGCGTGCGTTCG